TAGAGTTCTTGGTAACTCCTTTGCAACTTTGGAATATATTGGAAAACCTTGATTTTGACAAATTTTATTTGTTTATTTATTTATTAAACTTATCTGCTGCCCATCTCTATCCTAATGTTTCTGGAACAATTTTATGTTAAGGTCCCATGTTAATTCTTTATACTGTACTCTGAAAATGTAGGATATTTAAGTTAGTATGCTTATTTGATGGTTACTAGACTTGCCTTTGCTTGTAAAATCAAATTCATGTCTAATTCTATTAGTTACGTTCTGCACACAGAGGGAAGAGAAACTTGTGCACTGAGCTAGTGGATGGCATATTTGTGCACCAAGAAGAACTATGTATATGTTGCGCAAGTAGTCACACCAGCCTCTGTGTTCGTGAAATTCTCATTGCCTATTACCAAATCTTATTCAGGAAAGCAAACACCAGTGTCCATTTTCCCAGAGCGAAGGTAATTTGCTTATGACATTGCTTTAGGAAAACTGGTGTTATCGCTGTTCTGCCCGTTTTCAAGTACTGAGGTGAGGGCTCTTGGATGAAAGATTAAAATAAAGAATGGTTGGAAGAAAAATAATTTTTCTTATCCTTTCTCCAGCTTCAGATATTCTTTTGGTGCACGTAGGACTTAAAAAGTGACTGAGCTAGAAATAGGCAAGGATAACATCTTTCAGATTGAATGTGATTCCTGATGACATCATGGACACAGCTATGTATTTGATTTGGCAGCAAAATGGAAGTGGTTTACCATTGCCCTTTTCCAGACTGCAGGTTCTAACCAGGTCCACCCTGCTGAGATTTTCAAGATCAGCCATGGTGGGTTCGATGATGCTACCAAGGTTTCTCATAGACATAACCTATGTAGGTTTCCCCATAGGAAACATCCTGTTTGTTAGTATTTAAGACAGTGGTTCTCAACCTTTTTAATGCCGCGACCCCCCAACCGGTCGTAAGTCGAGGACTAAACCGGTCGTAAGTCGAGGACTAAATCGGTCATAAGTCGAGGACTACCCAACCGGTCGTAAGTCGAGGACTTTCCCTGCCCGGGAGCGCCGTGCATGCGTGGTTCCGCCCCCTGCGCCGGCCGAGGCGTAGCTGGCAAGCGGCAGAGACGGAGCAGGCCGACCACCAGCTGGCCCAGCTCAAGGGAGGTAAGGCACCCGCCGGAAAAGGGGGAAAAAATGGCGGACAGCCTTGCTTGGCGACCCCTGTGAAATGGTCGATCGACCCCAAATGGGGTTGCGACCCATAGGTTGAGAACTGCTGATTTAAGACAATATGAAGAACTCATGGTCTAACAAGGTTTCTGGCAGAAAAGTCTGAGATGCAGATGTGTTGAGTTATGAACTTTTTCCCTTTTGCTGGATAAGTTCCATTCACATTTTGGCCATTTCATTTGTAAAATTCTTGCAGGAAGTTCATGGCTAATGAACTCCCCATAGGAAATTCTCATGTACTAAGTTCATTTTGGTGATATGTCACCTGGTATTTCTCCCCTTATTTGTACATTTTGTTTAACAAACGCTGATCTGTTTATTGTAAAGAAAAAAGGTTTCCTTAGCACCTGAGAAAATAGGAGAGAAGAAATGTTAGTAATCTCCAATAACATTTTGAAAAACAAATATATTTATACAAGTGGTGTTGTGCTTTGAATGTTTTGTGCAAACTGTTGCTATGGCATTAGATGTTTCTGTAGATGAAAGAAGAAGAAAATGCTGTTTGTTCAGTCAATGACCTGCCAAATTAAAAAAAAAAAATACACACCAAAGCAAAGTTAAGTAGATGTGATTAAAATACCAGCATAACAAAGATAAAGTAACAGATAAAAATGTAATGTACCTATTATAAAGGTATACTGATTGCCTAGGCAAGTATAAATCTAAAGTATCACAATCTATGAAGTAAATCAGCTAAAATGAGATAGCTGGCAAGTATTAAACATGAAACAATAAATAAATCAGATGAGCAGTTATGCCTTATTATCATCATGGCAATATAAAATTTGGCAACTGCACAAGCGATAAAGGATTTGGAATCTTTCAGAAGATATTTCACGGAGAAATTGTATGCCCTTCCTGAAAATTTACATTTGAGGGGCAGAATATAAGCAGACCTGATACCCCTGTAAAATTTGCAGTGTAATATTACATGCGAAATAGTTTCAGTCTCCTCTGTAGATGACAGCAAACAGAGCTCTGTCCCTCAGGAAAACAAAATAAGTTAATGTGGTTTGAAGAACTAAGAAGAGATTGGACAACCATTTGTCTGAAATGATACAGGGTTTCCTTCTTGAGGAGGGGATTAGACTAGAACAGGGGTCCCCAACCCGCGGGATGCAAAAACGGGCCACCGCCGCACCACAAGGTGCAAAAATGGGATGCTACCGCATCGCGGGGCACAAAAACAGGATGCCGCCACGCCTCGGGGCGCAACAACGGGCTGCTGCCATGCAGTGGAGCGTGGAAATGGGATGCCGCTGTGCCACGGGGCGTGGAAGCAGGGCACTGCACCATGCAAGAACGGGGCAGGGCTAGTGAGTATCACGTGGACGCTAGGCCCGCCCCGTTTGTGTTGTGCGCGTGTAAAATGCTTCCCCCTCCCTTTTCCTCCGATTCGCCAACCGAGAAAGGTTGGTAAACTCTGGACTAGAAAACCTCCAAGGTCCCTTCCAACTTTGCTATTCTATTATTCTGTTCTGTTTACATGCTCACAGAATGCATAAGGCACATGGTCTTTTGGTAATGCAATTTATTTTGCTTTGAGGTAGTTTTCCCTTCTTCAGAGAAGTCTTCCTCTGCTCCAAGTCCAATCAATGAAAAAGTGCTTCTTGATGGGATCTTAGAAGATACCTTCTCTGTCATGGCGCCAGTCTTCTTGAATAACCTCCCATTAGTGATATGGATGACTCCAACCCTGATGGCTGTGAAGACCTAGTTATTCCCCTGGGCCCTGGGGTCAGAATGTGAATGGAGCCCTGATGTGGCCAAAGATGTATCTGTCTTTGGACAGATTTCTGAGGTGGTTTGATTTGCCAGTTTTTATGCTAGTGGGTTGTGTTTTGTTTTTATCTATGTATAGGTAATCCTCGATTTATGATCACAATTGAGCCCAAAATTTCTGCTATAAGCAAGACAGCTATTAAGTGAGTTTTGCCCCATTTTATGACCTCTCTTGCCACAGTTGTGAAACAAATCATTGCAGTTGTTTAGTTAGTGACATGGGTGTTAAGAAAATCTGGCTTCTCCATTGACTTTGCTTGTCAAAGGAACGCAAAAGGTGATCACATGACCCTAGGACCTTGCAACCATCATAAATACATGCCAGTTGTCAGGCATGACCGTGAGGATGCTGCAACGGTCGTAAGTGTGAAAAATGGTCATTAAGTCACTTTTTTGAGGGCCATTGTAACTTCGAACAGTCACTAAATGAATGGTTGTAGGTCAAGGACTAGCTATATTCCCCTGAGTACATCTGGCAAGCCATATAAACGTACTAAATAAATAAATAAGTAAATAAACTACTAGAAGATTGTTTTGGCCTTTCATCGTTTTCAGCTCCTATAAAATGGAGGTTCTTATGTAGAAATGAATGACTGATTTGAAAGTATATTGAATCTCTGAGAACGTGAAAGTCAAACTGATGTTGCGGAGCTAAAAGGGGGAAAAAAGGAGGCAGTTCTGGAGAGATCACTCACAGATGAAAATTCAGCTTCTGATCTAAATTGATACTTTTATGTGATTTAGTTATATGTGAAAGATTAAAATTGTCCTGAGACTTACTTTTGCAGGATTGTAGCAAATTGTATTTCAAAGCTACTTTTACAGATTTACTGGACAACCTGTGACCTCTTAAGTCACTCTTTTCAGAGGTATTTCCATACCAGGCTCATCAATGTCTTTAGTAATAACAGAGCTTCTAATATCCTGCCTTCAGTGGAAAAGTTGAGATACATTCAGAGATGTATCTGTCTTGGAAGTAGCCCATGTTCAACTGTATGCACAGTCAATTAAAGAAAATGTTTTATGACATTTTGTATTATGTCATAAATTGTTTTATGATAATTTTGTGTCATAAAATGTTTTATAAATTTGCCAAATTTCAATTCCGCAGGAGTCATGGGTCCTAGACTTGGATGCATTCTGTAAATTAGTCCATTTGAAGTACCTTGGTTCAAAACATTTTGTACTATGGTACACTGTTTCACCCAGTTAAAGGTTACAGGAATCAGTTTTAGTGTTTATAGATGATTATTTTATACATCTGTATTAAAAAAAAAAAAAAAAAATCTTAACTACCAAAAAAAAAAAAAAAAAAAAATCTTGCCCAGACTAATTTCCTTTCAGCATCTTTATAGTTTGGCATCATGGGAGTTGTAGTTTAACACATCTGAAAGAGACCTGGTGGGGGAAGGCAGGGCTATGTCATCTTTATAATTCATAATTAATAAGCCACTTGCAGGAAATTCTCCTGGATTCGTGCGTTGATGTGGTTTTGCACATTGTTCTTTAGCTGGCAGATATTCAAATGTTCTCCTGAATAGTATCATAAAGCACTTGTTAATATCTTCCCACAGCAGTAGTTTCCCATGAAACAAGGACAAATATATTGGAATTTCAGATGATTACAAGTTCCTGAATAGCATTGTGTATTTCTAACTTTGTATATCTGTATGCCTTTGAATCAGTGTTGATTCCTGGCGACTGCCCGAATAGGTCCTTGCAGTTTTCTTGGTGATGTTTTTGGAAATGGTTTGCCATTGCCTCTTTCTTAGGGCTGAGAGAGAATGACTGGTCCAAGGTCACCCAACTGGCTTTGTGCTTAAGGCAGGACTAGAAGTCACAGTCTCCAGGTTTCTAACCTGGCTCTGGAACTGTTATTGAGAGTAATAACCACAGGGTTAATGTGTGGTCAAATGAGGTGAGGGGATCTTTCACCTCCAAAAGATTTTGCATAAATAATTATAATTTGTGGGTTTCTTACATGTTTTCTTTTGCTTTAGGTAAATGAAATTTACCATGATGAATCCCTGGGAGTGCACATAAATATTATCCTTGTTAGAATGATCATGGTGGGATACAGACAGGTAAAATACACACAATGTCACTCTTGCTCACCTATTTAATTTAAATGTTTGCTTATGATTTAGAGAGAAGTAAAGGTTTTAAAAGAAGTTTATAGTGTTCTCCCGTTTTCTTCCTCTGGTAACAACTGTTTTTAAAGTGATGTAATACAAACATTTCTGCTGCCATAAATAAATGGTACTTGACCATCATCCTCTTAGTGAAAGGATGCCCAAAAATAAGAAAAAAGGGGAGAGTCAAAGAACTCATACAAAGGACTCAGCCTTAATGGGGTGCATGTCATCATAGGACACTTGAGATGGAATTAGTTTTCCAAATGCTGTCCAAATGTTTTGTTTCATTTTTTAAAGGACATTCTTTAAATGCAGAATGCATATTGGGAAAAGACTTGAGCAAACAAAAGACTCTTAATGTAGATGAAAGATCAAACATCTGTTCTTGGCCACTAAAGGACTTGATGGTAGCCAAAAGCTTGTTTCATCTGATGTATACACCAGCTTTAGTGTTTTTTTAATTTATTTATTAGATTTATTATCATCTTCAGTTCGCAAGATTCTTGGTGGTTATAAAACATAGGAAATACCTGTGATATAAAATGAAAAAAACCCCACATATTTCTAGGAGCATAAAATCCAAAGGCTGTGATTTATTCATCCCTTCTAGACGGGATGTTTGCAGGGAGATGGTTAAATAAATCAAGCTGGGCCACAACCATGCAATCCACCATTTGATTGCCATTTGTGGCTGCCATTTTGATTTTTGTTGAACCCCCCCCCCTCCCCACTGTGGATACTCCTGATCCAAGCTTTGTGCATAACCACAGGCCTTCAGCTACAGCTCTATTTTCAGATGTTTCCAAAAAACCAAAACCTGGCCTGGCTTCATTTTAAGTTGGAAGCTATTCTTAAATATAGGTGATGTGACAGGGAAGTGGAAATGGGGGACATCCAGTATCTGAGGGGCTGTCACAATGAAGAAGAGGTTAGGTTGTTCACCAGAGCACCAGAGGGAAGGATGAGAAACAATGACTGAAAACTGATCAGAGAGAGAAGCAACCTGGAATTAAGGAGAAACTTCCTGACAGTGAGGACAATCAACCAGTGGAACAGCTTACCCACAGAAATCGTGGGCGCTCCATCACTGGTAGTTTTTAAAAAAGAGACTGTCTGAGATGGTATATAGGTCCTCCTGCTTGAGCAGGAGACTGGACTAGAAGACCTCCAAAGTCTCAGATTCTATTCTATTCTATTCTATTCTATTCTATTCTATTCTATTCTATTCTATTCTATTCTATTCTATTCCATTCCATTCCATTCCATTCCATTCCATTCCATTCCATCCCATCCCATCCCATCCCATTCCATTCCATTCCATTTTCTGTTTTGTTCTGTTCTAGGACAAATTAGGTGGGTTGATTTTGGTTGGAGAAGACAGCCCTGGAGATGCTTCAGGGTCAAGCCATGCAGAGATGCTGATTTCACCTTGTCTTCTCTTCCTCCTTTCAGTCCATCACTTTAATAGAGCGAGGGAACCCTTCTCGAAGCTTGGAGCAGGTGTGTCGCTGGGCTCATTCCCAACAGCGTTCAGATCCTGCACATGCTGAATATCACGATCATGCTGTATTCCTCACCAGGCAAGATTTTGGTCCTGCAGGTATGCAAGGTACTGTATTTATCTCAATCAGATATGTGCAGTTTGGTGGACGCCACCGAAAAGGCCCTTTTTTTGACCAAGGCCTTTGTAGTAGTGAGTACATAAAAGTTTTAAACCCAAAGTTGTGACTATTTGCATTCATTCACGTTGCTTTCTGAACAACAACATGGAACTGGCTCACTATTGCCCTCTTTAAGGACTTTTCAAAATTTTACGTTCCGGTCTGACCCACAACTCTGCTATTTCCTGGTGATCTCCCATTCAAATTCTATTTATTTTTGCAAAAGGCAGTTACATTTGTTAAAACAACAGTGAATTTTGCCTTATGTTTTTTATACAATTGTGGATTCTTAAGCAAAAAAAGGGGGAAACCATCTGTTTATACTTGCACCACTTGTGATCAAAAAGAACTTACCAATCCTGTGCTGTTGCTTCTGCATATTTATCTATCTATCTATCTATCTATCTATCTATCTATCTATCTATCTATCTATCTATCTATCTATCTATCTATCTATCTATCTATCTATCTATCTATTTATTTATTTATTTATTTATTTAAGATAATTTATATAACCTCTGTCAACATCAAGAATCCAAATAAAACTCCAGGTTCATTCTGTCTCCGAAAATCTTACTATTCAATACACTGCATGGTTATTTTCGAAGCAAAACTTTATTCTGAGGTTCCAACATTAATTCGTAGACTTAAACAATACTTTTCCCAGCCAAACCCCCAACATCTTATGTAGTCCATATAAACAAGTTCACTTTGTTATGGGAATTGTCTGCTTCAAATCCACACCTATTCTGGTGTCCTTGAAAAGGCTTCAGGCTCTCATGGTCTTCAGCTGAACCGTATAAGTTTAGTTTCTCCATCTAACCCATTTGAAAGTAACATTTCTCCTCCTTAATCTAAAGGCAAGTTAAAACTCAGAGGCACATAGCTGCCAGAGTTTCATCCTTGACAGCCACCTACTCACAGCGATTATAATATAATAATAAAATCACTCCTCCCCCGGTAACAACACACACTCATTTCCTCCTAACTCCTTTAGAACTGCTCTGATTTTCTAGTCGGATAGTTAAAAACCAAGTTTTATAGAACCATAGAATTACAAAGTTTGAAGGGGATAGAAGAAACATCTAGTCCAACCATCCGCAGTGTGCAAGAGATTTATAGAAAGTTGTTATTGGAGTCAGTGTGGTTTGATTAATCATAGATTATGCCAGACTAAGTTCAATAATTCCAAATAAAAAGCTAAAGTTGCCTTCCTAACAGATTATAATAATGCATAAGAGCAGGGGGGGAAAATCCAATGCAAGCAAACTTGAGTTCCATTCACTGACTTCCTAATGCATGTAGTAGTATCACCAAGTGCTTATATCTCCATTATTTGGATTGAAGCATTTGTACTTTTCTGATTCCTATTTTAGCTGATTCTTTTCTACAGACTAATCATGAAGAAAGCTCCTTTTTTAAGCCAATGGGACCTTTGTTCTAGTTATCTACATTTAAATTGTTCTAAGATAATGGGATGGAATAGAAAGTTCTACCTTGTCTCCCTTTTTTTCCTTGAGGAAGAAGAAGATACTTCTTCCAGTTGTCAGTCACAACTGGTGAAGCTGCTTCTTCTTCTTCTTCTTCTTCTTCTTCTTCTTCTTCTTCTTCTTCTTCTTCTTCTTCTTCTTCTTCTTCTTCTTCTTCTTCTTCTTCTTCTTCTTCTTCTTCTTCTTCTTCTTCTTCTTCTTCTTCTTCTTCTTCTTCTTCTTCTTCTTCTTCTTCTTCTTCTTCTTCTTCTTCTTCTTCTCCTTCTTCTTCTT